GAAGTGGCCCCCACAGTGTTACCTGCGTGTGCCGTAAAGGTGTCAACTTGAACCAAAATTCCTGCACGGCTACCTAGCCGCCTAGAGTGGTCCTGAGGGACTAGATAGGCGGGATATAAATAAAATAAATAAATAAATTGCGTGAGAGGTGAGAGACTTGCCAGGCCTCCCTTCTCACTTTTGGAAGGAGTCCAGCCCCCCCCCCGGGCTTCCCACTCTCCCCTTAGATGCTCGGGGGGGGGGAGGCTCTGGAAGGAAGGTCCCGAGCAGCAGGAGAGCAGCCGCAAGGGTCAGCCGAGGACATTTGCCCCCTGAGGCGCAGGAGGAGGTGGGACCCCCCCCCTCGCTGGTTCCCCACTGAGAAGAAGCTCCCGGGGGCCTTCCGCACCTTGTCCAAGGGCCGCATTGGGGGCCCTTGAAGGGTCTGGATTAGTGCGGGGGGGGAGGAGGCTGGACTGGGGCAGGGCTTCCAGTCTGGCGAGGCCCACATGAGGGGGGGGGCACAAGATTTTCAGGCTGACCGGTCCCAGTTACTTTAAAAGATCTGGCCCCTCTTAATCTCTCACCCGCCTGGCATCTTCAGGCTGGATTGCAATGAAAAACCTTGGATGGAGGGGGGGGGGAGCCATCAGGTCCTCCATCCTCGCCATCTCACAGACCTTTGTCCCCCACCCACACCCCCTCCTCCCAATCTTTCGCCCTCCACCAGCAACCTGCCCGATGTGACCGCTGCGGATTTTGAGCACGTCAACCTGTCGCAGTACAAGTGGATCCACTGGGAGGTGAGTGAAGTGGAGAGAGAGTGGGAGAGAAAGACCCTTGGGGGGTGGGGGGGTGGGCCTTGCCCTTGATGCCATGTGGGATGCTGATACAGTATGTCCAGGCTAGTATATTACATGAAATGGATTTGGTGAACTCTGCTAAACACCAAATGCCCCAGAAAAGGGGAGCCGATACGTGTTGAGATAGAAGAGCAGAGAGCATCGCGGTTGTGCTCCAGAAGCACAACTGAAAAGGGAGGCGTTTGCTTTGGGTGAAATAAGGAGGTGGTGCCTTGTGGGTCTCCCGTGGGAAAGCATTCTGACCTCCAGAGGGGCTCTGCTGGAAAAGCCTCCTCCCCGCCAACATCCCCCTCGCGGCTGTGCCCACGTGAAATGGCCTTTTCACCAGGACCTCCTCCTCCTCCTCCTCCTCGTTGTCTTTATGTGCTGCTAAGTTGCCCCCAACATATGTTGACTGATAAAGGAGCGATCTGCCAAGGATTCTTTCCTCAGCCGCCCTGTTCAGCTCTTACAGACTCAAGCCTGTGGTTTCCTTTAGGGGGTCGAACCATCTCACTTCTGGTCTTCCTCTTTTCCTGTCCCCATCCACCTTTCTCAGCATGCGGGTCTTTTCCAGAGAACCCTCTTGCCTTCTCATGAGGTACCCAAATGAGGACAGCCTCATTTCCAAAATGTTTGCCTCCAGGGAGTGTTCGGGCTTGACTTGATCCAGGACCCCCTTGTTTGTCTTTCTGGCAGTCCAGGGTATCCTGGGAATTATACATTTCAGGCTGGGTGGCATTTCCGCTGCCTTCTCGGGCCCTTTTATGAGGCTGCTGAGCGTGCCCGTGGGTTGGTGGGCTGAACAGGAGCCTGACGCTGGGAAGAGAGAGCTTGGTGGACTGACTGCCTGGGGCTTCCAGGCCATGGCGAAGGGCGGCCATGCGCAGGGGCCGCGTCGTCTCCTGAGCTGAGAATGGCTGCCCAGCCGTGCCTTGCTGGTGGCTCGCCCTTTGCTGTGCCCTGGCAGGTGAGCAGGAGAAGGGCCTCTGCAGGGCTCCCCGGCCAGGTGTCTGGCCAACGTCATCAGGTGCCCCTTACACGCACTCCAGTAAGAGCCCCCCCTTCTCTCCCAGGGCCGGAATGCCTCGGAGCAGGTGAAGATGTTGCGGCGGGTGGAGGAGCACAATCGCACCTGCCCGGCCTCTGAGCGAGTGACCACCTCGGTGGAAGTGGAGAAGTCCCGCCCGGAACTGTACCAGCTCTTTCCCTATGGGGATGTGGTAGGCACGCGCCCTGGAGACATGGGTGGGTAGGGTAGGTGGGTTTCCCGGCTGGGTTGGGCTTTTGGTCAGAAAGGGAGCAGCTCCCATCAGAGGCTGGCTGGCCCGGCCTGGGGGGGGTTCATGAGATGGGGGGCCCTGAGAGGATACCCCTGTAGTTCCATGCAGGGTCTCCACTGCGTGGCCTGACAGCATCGTCCCCTCACCCTCTGCTCATTGGGCAAGGGTGCAGAGGGCCCCCCCCCGCCCTGCATGCTCTGCTCTGGACGCCTGCCAGTACTCCCAAGGCCAGGCCTGGATCCCTGACACACTGCCTTGAACCCGCGGGAGCCTGACGCTCTCCTCCCCGCATGCCAGGTGTTCGTGAGCAAGGATGTGGCCAAGGCGCTGGGCTTTTTCTCGGCCTCTGAAGCGGTGAAGGGTCTTCGTGGGCGTTTGAAGCCAGGGTGAGTGGCAGCAGGGGGCATGGTGGGGTCCCCTCCTCTTGCCTCCTCTGGGTCTTCTGTTGAGGCATGAGGTGGGGCAGCACGGGGGGGGGTTCTGCCCCTGTAGGGCTCCCCAAACCCCCATCAGGGTGGCTCTTCTGCTGCCCCTGAAGATGTCCACGGAAGGAGCGTGGCCTGCCCCGTTTCCAGGGAGATCTTTGCCAAGAACGGGTTGCAGCCCCCCCACCCCACCCGCAACTGTCCAGCAGCTTCGCCCCAGAGGGCGTCCTTCTGGGTGGTCATCCTTCCCCCCCCATCCCTGAGGCTTCTCTAAGCCTGGCTGCCCAGCCTCCGGTTCTGGATTCCCTAACTTTAACCCCACCTGTCCTGGGGGGGGGGCAGGGGAGAGAACAGAATGGTGTTCTTTCTCCCCACAATTCCCCAGGCCAGGCTGTTTACTGCAGCCCCTCCCAACCTGGGGACCGTAGTGCTGCTCTCCATGGGGGTAGGGGTGTGTGCCTCTTCTTTAATATCCCCATGCCTTCCCCCCCACACACACACACACACTGTGCACTCCTGGGGACTGTAGTGCTGCTCTCCATGGGGGTGGGGAGGTGTGCCTCTTTTTTTATATCCCCATGCCTTCCCCCCCCACACACACACACACTGTGCACTGACTCCTGGCCCTCTTGCTCCTTCCCCAGAGCCACCCTGATCTGCGCGTGGGCCGAGGCGGGAGCGGATGCGATGGGGCCCGACGGGGTGCTGGTGCACTCGGACGCCTTCTCTCCGGAGAAGGTGGTGGACACCTTGGGGGCCGGAGACACCTTCAATGCTTCGGTGATCCTGGCTCTGAGCAGGGGTGAGTCCCACCTGCCCCGTGGCCTCGCAGGGCAGGCGTCTGGGTGTGGGAAGGAGGGCCAGCCCCGCCCAGCCCTTGGCCTCCAAGCAGGGCCCCCCCTCCCTGGCTCTCCTGGCCCGCCTTGCAAGCTGAGCTGATGGGCTGCTCTCTGTGGCAGGGAGACCCCTCTCCGCAGCGCTCGCCTATGGGTGCCAGGTGGCCGGTCGGAAATGTGGGGTGCACGGCTACGTGGGGATCGTGTGAACTGCCTGCGGCAACTCCTGCTGGGCCTGGAATGCTCTGCCGAGCCACAGACTGGACCTCTCCCCAGGACACCGGCCAAGGGTGCTGGTGCCGCCTCCACAGAGTCCCCGCAAGGGGGGAGGCAGCTGGCCTGGGCTCCCTGCCATTCCCAGCCCTGGCAACCTGGGGCTGTGTCTCTTGGTGGGCACGTGGCCCCTCTCTCCATTTCGCCAGCCGAGGGTAATAAAACGGTCAAAACAGTCAAACTGCTGCTGACGGGTTGGCGGCTGTGTACCAAGTGCTGCCCGATGGGGGGGTCAGGGCAATGTGTGTGTGTGCGCGTGTGTGCGTGTAGAGCAAAAACCAAGACACACAGAGCCTGGAGGTCTTGTCACTCGTGGCCACTCTCAAGAAAATGGACGGACTGCCTCCTGGGAGGAGCCGAGAGGGGAATTTGGGAAGGTGGAGAGGCTGCGTGGCCGGAGCCTGCCCAAGAGCGGTGGAGGGGCATGGAGCCCACCTGGACGCCTGGGAGCTGTCCTGACCTCCTTCCCAGCTTGGGTGCTGGTGGGGCTTCTTCGCTCCCTGGTCCCGTACAGGCTGCCTCCCTTCCCGCCGCCCCCCTCCTTGGGTTTCCTTGCTGGAGCGCCACGTCTGGGTCAGGAGCACATTGTTCACTGTCGTTTTATTGAAAGGCAGAGGAGAGAGGGGACTGACACACACACACACACACAAAGGGGAGAAGCCGCGCCAGTGGTGAGGCCGCCTGGCCTCCCAGCACCTAGTGGGCCTTGCCCAGCTGGTCACGGGGGAGCCCTAGCCTGGCCCTGGCTTCTGTGCCCTCGGCTGGCTGGAGGGCAGAGGAAGGCCGCCCTGCACACTCCCGTCCAGAAGGCAGCCTCTGCATGAACCCCCCCTTGAAGAAGGAGTTCCTCTGGCCTTGTGAGTCGTCAGCTGCTCCTTTTGGAAGGGGGAGGACCTGAGAGGCACAACCAGCAAGGCTA